TATGTGGATTTATATATTTTTCCGAGACACCGCGCGCATAGTCTAAAACAGATAAATGAGGGGGAAAGACCGGATCGGATGCAGGAACCCCGTGACCAAAAATCTCTCGAGATTTCTCAAATATTTCTTTCTCTTTGGTTGCTTGCGTTGGGCTTGGCGGAATATATAGACCCAATAAATCTAATAATAGGATTTTCTTAATCACTTTTGATTTACGATCTATTATGAGATTATAAAGGAAGATTGTATTTTAGATACCTCCGTTATTTATTGATAGGATTATATATATTTATTTAATTTAATTCTATTATATTTCAATATCAGATAAATTTGATTAGATTATTCGGATGAATATATATTCTGTACATTTATCTTGAGATTTATTTAATATTCGATATTTAATATTTTTTCTTATGAATTGATATTTCAAAATTATGATACGACCATTTGCGGCTATTTCGACGACTTATGGTCTAGTTTTTCTGACTAAACTCTAAAATATTTCTTATAGATTCTCTAGAGGCTTTAAAAATTTCGAGATTTTCATTTTTGGTTGATTACGTGATTATTTGGATGGATTATATTGAGTTAAGATAAAAAGATAAATGACATAGACATTGATTGGAAAATTTGAGCTGAGATCATAAAATTCTTCGAAATTTCGAATTTGAAATCTTCAATTTAAATCTCAGAATTATTCGCTTTTTGATAAAAGATATAGCAATCTTCTGAATTTTAATGGAATTTGATCTGTAGAAGGCACCGTGCCGCTATTTATATAATTTGAAATAATGAATCTTCTGGCGGACGCTTGGCAAGACGGCGTTAGGAGAAAAGGAATATCTAGAGGGGGATTCCGGCTTGGGTCAGGAAATTTTATTCAAATCATTGGATGACCTATTGGACAAGTCCTTCAGATTTACGAAAATCTGACGAATATTAGAAGAATGATTAGCGTCAGGGATATCCGCGACTAGCAAGAATATCGCCTGATATTAGATTCTTATAGGAAGCTCCGATAATATTCTCTCCTAAGATAAGAAGCAACTACTTCATGATATTTCATGAAATATATAAAGGAATAGGATTTCAAGCTCTATCAAAGCAGGGAAAGATAGCCACGTCACGATCCGGATTTCGAATTGAAATTAGAATTTCATATTTCCGTAGAGGATTATGGATATCTCTATAGATAGAACGCGGGATAGAAATAGGTCGTATCAGATTGATTAGTAAAAAATCGTCAGATTCTGAGATCTCTATGCAAATCTTTGAATTCCAATCTATAAATCCGATCCGCCAGGAATATCTCCAGATGGTCTTGAAGGAATAATTTAATATAAAGGCAATCTTCCCAAATACGTAATTCCCTCATTGTTGCTAGCCTGATAGTCCTCAATTTCAAAATATTAACGTATATTCAGGAAGCGGGATATCAAATTACGAGGAAATAGGATTTGAAATTCCGTATATTATTTTATTCTATATCAGATAGCTTGCCATTATACGTCATTCGAACGATGATATTCCGTTGCTGAAAATAATAGGTCCACTCTCTGAATATCTTAATAATTCATAAATATCTTTATCTATCGATATTTCTATTATATTAATGATATTTTTATTCTCGTTAAATATATTATTTTCAATTTTCTTTATAAATATATGAAATTATCTTTTTTTTTGATTTATTCATTTCTTTCGTATTTTCTTGATTTCTTGAAAATCATTATTTTTCATTTTCGATTTCTAATTATTTTTCGATTCTTCGTATTTATATTCCTCATATAAAGATTTTAGATTTTAAAATCTATATTATCTTCGTCCTCCGTCAAGAGCCTGATTGCAATCCTCAATGATAATATATTTTGGATTATCTCATTATGGAAGATCTTTATAATATGCAATCTTAGATCTTATAATATTTAATTATGACATATCTACATAATATTCAATTGCAGAATATTCCTATAATGCTCAATCGCAGATCATGCCTGTAATATATAATCATCGAATATTCCTGCAAAATCCAATCGTTAAAAATCTCTATAGCGCCCAACCGCCGAATTTCCCCAACCTTCCAAGAAATATTATATCTCTTATCCAATAAGAATTCTAGGCTGGAGAAATTCGAAATGAATATTTTTTTAAATGACTATTCTATATAGAATAATAAGATAGATAATTTTCTATTATAATGTCTATTCAATTAGATTTCGATATATATTCATCTATATAATCTTCATATTTTTATATATTAGTCTATTTAATATTATTTTGAAAAAAAAATCATATTTATAAGATAAAAATACCGAACGATTCTTAGAGTTGATATAATCAAATATTTCTAGATATTTTCGAATAGATAATATTTAGTCAATATCATTTATCTTTCGTAAGCATTTTATTTATTGTAGAGATTATTGAAAAATTAATTTATCTCATAATTTGATAGATATATCATTCTATAATTAAATTACTAAATTTAAAAAAAAATCAAAAATAGATAAGATAATTTCAATAAGATAATTCTAGATAACCTTTGATTGATAAAACGAAATATCGATATATTAAATAGAAATTAAACGATGAAAATAAGAGATCGGAATCTAGAATTATGAATAAATGCTATATCGAAATCCATATATCTATAGAATATATTTCAGAAGAATTAACTAATTCTATATATCTTTTTAATTATTTAGAAATATATTTCGATATCTAATTCCGATTTCAATTTCTATAATCAAATAAATTAATAAAGAAATCGTCTATCAATTCATGATATGAATTATTCTCTTCCAATTTAATTTTAGATAATATTCAATCAGATAAGAAATATGAAAAATCATTATTACTCATCCTTCTAAATCTCCATTATAATAACTCTCGATATCGTATCATAATGAATATTATGTTATATATAATTATATCCGCCTTCCTATCAGATATGAAAGCTAAAATATCTATATCTATTATAGATCATTAGAAAGGAAATCAATATCTATTCTTTGAGATAAATTTTTGGGTCTTAGATCCAAATATAGATAGAAAAAAGATTAATTTTGAAATATTATCGATATGATTATATATTTCTTTCGCTCTTCAAATATCCAGAATTTCAATCTCATTTCTATCGAATAAATAGAGAAAATCAAAAATTTATAATTCGAGAAAATTTGATTTATAATAATATTATTAAATATTAATCGGTAAATCATCGATTAATAAATTTTCCTTCTAATGAATTAATCATCCTTAATTTCAGATAAACTCTGAAAATAGATTTATTTAGATAATAACGATTCTTCGAAATATTAAAAGAAAAATGAGATAGGATATTTGACTAATATATTATCAAAATATATTTCGAATCAATTAGAAATCCAGAGATTCTCAATAATTCCAGGATTTTTCGAATCCAGGGAATCTATAAAATCCAATTTTTTTATAAATCTATCAAATATCTCAGATTTTTTCGATCACCCGATCTAAGCCACCCCCAGTACTCAAAAGGTCAAGAAAGAAAAGCAGCTTAATGGATTCGCGCCAGAACCAAATCGTGGTCTGACCCGTATCCTTTTGTAGAGGCATGATAATTTTCAGCTGTCAGATATAATATTTTAGGACATGGTAGCCTGGCATTGATCAACCAAAAATCCGCATGTATTTTGGAAAAGCGTTATTTCGAAATCGGCCCTCAAAGCGACAACCGCAGTTCACGGACTTTGTTTTCCCGAGTAGGCCCGCTGCTTTCTAGCAGCATGCCATTTCATGAGCAACGGAAGCCGGGCGTGATTTCAGTCACAAGCGACCAGCGGATAAGCCCCTGATCGACCATTAGGCAATCCGCCGATCAGCAGATCTCAACTATCTCAACACCATTTTATTGAGTACTGAACAACTGGTACTTCATGCCGAGCATCTCAGCCGAAGCTCCGAGATGCTATTAGAGGACCGGCCAGCCAATAGATTTGACTGGCCTACGCAACAGTTGGTCTACACCTGATCTGTCAAACAGCTCAGATTCAGCAAATGACAGTAATTATCTCGGTGAAACGATTGACTAGCATGTCAATGTTCGGCAGGTTCAGCAACTGAAACTTCGTGATCAAGTAAGATGATTGACTGTGATGTCATTCATTGTTGATATTCTCCAAGCACGTTCAACAAAATATGTCTGCAAGGCAGACATCAGTACTAGGGATATCCTTCTTGATATTGCACATCATGTACAGATACATGATATCTCATAGCGAACAGAGGTGCCCGCTTCCCTGAAGCCGGAATTTCAGCGGAACCTATCGAGACAACGCGCCTGATTTCGCGAAATAAGGTGAGGTGCAACTCCACGTCCGGTACTCCTCCCTGATTCTTTTGCAGCTTTGCTGGGCGGCTGTACTTCAAAAATTGCGTCAAAGCAGCACATGCTGCAGATTTATGGACACGGACACATCATGGATAGCTGATGCAATCAGCTACGTGAAACAATGTTTTTTGCCTGCGACCAGCGGGACCTCTTACGCGCACATGGCATTTGCACCTGGGCCGCTGGCCCAACGAGTTGACAAGGCGATAGCATTTCTGAAATATGTGCCCCAGTACACCATCACCCAATGCTCACAGAGATTCAAGGAGCAACCAACAAAGCACCAAAATGATGTCTGCAGCTTGTCCAATGCACACGGCTTGCGTTGTCCATGGCTGCGCTGGCACTCTTAAAGCTGAATCGGCTTGCGCACCTTGCGCAGCGGACCTAAAATTGAAACACGGCCCTGTTACCTGTCCTGCTTTGGAGGTACTGTACAGTGATAGAAACACCTTGGTCGCAGCAGCTTGCAACTGAATGCCGCTGACTTCATTTGCAAATGTAAGGCGCATGCAGCACAACTGCTTTCAGCACGTCGCACTTGAGAGTACCTGCCAGCTGGCCACGGAACCTGCGACCCTTCATTGGTCACTGCTAGCCAAACGCCCACCTTGATGAGAACAATCGGGCTCTAGGAGGGCGCCTCCTCGGTGGCCTCTGAGCAGCACAACTCGGCAAGAATGCTTCTTCCTTCTAGTATGCAAGCATGCATGTGAGTGTACATTAATGCAACTGCACAAATGCATGCATTGAAGAGGAGTAGCGGCAGAACGATTGCAAGTACGTACAAGTACATGAATATATTTACGCATGTATGTAAGGCAAATTGTTGCTTGCGATTTAGGATGTCTATGCGCACTATGCTCGCTTGGCCAGAAGCAATCATCAGGGCAGACTTCTTCTTCTGATCCATGCTTACGCTAACCGACAAATCAGTCGAGCGAGGCCTGAAGATCACCTACTGAAGGAATTGCAAGAATCCACGAGTCCATCTTGAAAACACCCTGCGCGCAAAAATTGTCAGACTGTGTCCAGGGATTTCCGCATTTGGCAGAAGTCCGCAAAAGTTCCTTTCCGCATTGTGGCAAAGACAACTCAGAATCATTTGTTCGCAAACTTCGACGTTATTCTCCAGGGAAAGGGATACAGCGAGATGCGTTGGCAGGCTAAAATCCTCCGCCCGCAAGTCTGAAAGCCCACAAGATCTTTCAGCCGCTAGCAAAGCCACATACAGGCAAGCCCTAGTGTTTCTAGCAGCTCGGCAACATCGCAAGAAATGCATGAATGTTGCCGCTCGACTCGTTTCGTAGTAAACTTCTACTTCAACATGGGATTCATCCGAACTTTTGTCCGCAGGCCCCAGCAGCTGCTTCTTGCAATGACTGGGGATTGACTGAGTGACTCCCTCAAACCTGCTGTCAGCAAGACAGGCAGCCAACCCGACTCGATTCTGCTGTCCCGATTCATGTGATGTGACAAAGCCCCGTCACTTGCCTGGCCTGGCCCTCCTGCCGGGAACTTGGGGTGGCGACATCCTGAAGCTTCTCCTTCTCCGCCTTCGCCTGACAAATCATTGTGGTCTAATGCTGCTTGGGCGAGGGCCTTGGGCTGGGCAAGCCTGTCGGCGAACCCACACTGTCACATGGCCATCGCCTGCCTGAGAATCTCAGAAGCATGTGCTTGTGTCATGCGCCCCGCGTAGTGAAGCTATGCAGGATAGGATTCAGAAAATTCTGCAGCAACGACAGAAAGCATTAACGATCATTAACATATCTCCACAAAAATGCGCCAAGGAGCTTGAAGGTAAACATATACATGCAAACTTGAAAGTTGCCAAGAGATGATGCGTTGACTGAGGGGCAGCACTCTGCATGATCTTCCCTGCTCCCGAAGCTGAGATGACTGCAACCCAATGTAGCTGCGCAGCTGTGCTCCTGCACTGCTTCAGTCTGCAACAGGAAACTCGGCCTACCAATATCTGCAACAAGCAATTGGGACCATCGAACGAGCTATATAATTGCAGTCTGCAAAGTGCATGGCAGTCCAAGAAGGGTCCAAAATGGAGTGCCCACACTGCCACCCACCGCCTAGCCTTCGCAACCAAGATTACAACTACAAACGCACGCTAGCATGGGCAACAATGAGAGGCCTGATGGGCTTCAATGCCAAGTGCTTGTCTGCGCACATGCTTTTGGACAGCGTTGCGAGCCTCAGGACCAACTCCGCTTCAGGTGCTACTTGTACCGCATCATAACCAGGCATTCCGAGGCTTGGACAACCTCACGTTGAACGCGTCCGTGGATAAGACATGGATGTTATGGCCCTGCTTTCATGGTGCCAGGCTGGTGCTCCAAACTGAGAACAAAGTTGCAAGGGCCTGCCTGGGAGTCAACCCAACGTCCAAGCAGCGCTTCTGCGCTAAGGAACTCATCTGTTGGTGATGTTTCACAGGGGAGCCTTGACTGGAGCAGTGAAAAGCTTGGCCAATTTACAACCGTAATGTGACTGCGCCTCTCTTCGGCGAGGACCTGGATCATCGCTGTCTAACAGGAATAGGCAACAGTAAGAACAGTCAGATTCCTAAGCTGCTTGCCCACTGCCGGCCAACCAGCTTTCGTGACCCATCCTCGGCATCGCCGCGATCTAGTAAAGCTACGATCTGCTGAAGCACTACCAAGGTATGAGCCAACAGCCCGTGAGGCGCAGGCATAATTGGCCCATGGCACGCCGGATGGATCTGCAAACCTTACCGCAACGTCAAGAGGCAGTCGTTGAACTACGAAACTTGAACTGCTCCAAATTCAGACGCCAACATGTCCGGACCAACAGGTAAATCCGGCCGCAAACCTTGCATGGCTGCATGGGTGGTGTGACGGCAACAGCCTAGGCCAAAAGTGTGGCTATCCAGCGAACCTAAGGCATCAAACTCTCCATGCAGGTTTGCACTGCCAGGAGCCTGGCATTCAACGCATAAAGCAGTATATTGCATCAACACATCTGCACAAGGCACAAACCAAAAGAAAACAAAACCATAAACATGTCCACACATCCTGCACGTCCGGGTACGGCGTAAGAATGGCTTCAAGGCCCTTGACCCTGCAAGACTCAAGTTGTAGGGCGACGGACTTTGGTTGCCCTGCTCTACAGCGACTGTTTCCAGCCTTGCAGAAGAAATGGCCTCATCTGTGGTCATGCCCGCATGCAGCTGTACCAAGAAATGTCCAAGACTATGGCGCCAGTTCCCCACGCAGCTGGGAGCTGTGAAGCAAGGTCCGCCCACCATGCAGGGTCCTGCACTGAAGCGCGCATGGAAACATGGGCAGCCAAGGTGGTGCCCTATTGGTTGTGTAGCCTGTCGATCATGCTTTACTGGCGTTGGAGAACTGCTTCGCAACGCTTGCTATTCATATCCTGCGGCGGCCACGGCACTGCAGAGGGCCTTGCTGAGCTGGGCGTCCAAATCCAATGCTAAAGGCATGCCATTGCGACTTTGAAGGACACGCCATAGCAGCGTCCCGGCACTAGGCGCTTGGCCACTCTTTTGCTGGCCATTCGTCTGCATTCCTGGTGTCACTCGGCTTAAAGCTCTTGTCACGGTGCATGCACGCCATGCGCAGCAAAGCACTCCCAGACTAAGAGCAGGGCCACCCTTCAGACTCCGGCCATTGGTCGGCTGTCCTTGACATTGCTGGCTTGCTGGCTAGTGCGGAAAGGAAAAAATCTCGTGAAATCCCGAGCTCAAGGCCAACTTTCTGACGCCCAATCGGCTGCATTCCTAGTGAGGCAGGCAAGAATACCTGACTCAAGAAAACGAATCCTTTCAGCCCACTATCTCAGTCTCCCCCAACATTGATTAATATTTCAGGAGTATTTCAGGAGCCGTGAAAGATTGCTTTGAAAAGGGACGGCTGATTGTGAATTTAATTTAGGGACGGGTTCTAAGATCTGTTGACATGTGGTGTTCCTTGTTTTTGCCGTGGGGGGCGGGGGTTGTTGTAGAGATAATTGAAAATTCAAGAAAATTGGATCTCCTTTATTGGTTCGCTTCTCATTCTTTGTATGTGTGTTAAGGAACTCTAAAACTGGCGGGCATCGTTACAAGTGTGCAACAAGTTCGTGCTCATAAACTACTTAGCAGGTTTGATTTGGTCATGAAAGGTTCAAAGAGTGGATTTAACCAGCTCACTCGAGCTGATTGATTCACTATTTAGACCGTCACATGAACTAGAACAAATGAATCAACTTTGCAGGTCGTAACGAGTTGGAAGCTCCAAAGCGATTATCCAGCTTGAATGAAATACCTAAGTTGACTTACTCAACTTGAGTTGATTCTGAGCTGACATTAAGTCCCAGTAAGTGATTAAGGATCTCAATTTCTCAGGAGAAGGCTTTATAGTGAACTTCAGAGGAGAGCTGTATACACAATCCCTCCAACATTTCCAATAGATATCATCCCCCCCCCGGCACCCAACAATTGAGTTATTTCATCTCAGGGGGGGTCGCGTATTGATAATCACCACCTAACATTAGAGCCCCTCCTAAATTCAAATTTGGGTTCCACAGAATTCCAAATTCTCATCCAAATCTGCCCCAAGACTACTTTTGAAAGGGCCAAGACTTAAGTTAGTTGCGGCTCGGATCCTCTGAACTAGGGGGGTGGCTAACGCGACTTTTAAGGATGAGGGATCTTCTTGATTTCTCGGCTTTATGTTGCTTTTGAATACATAAAATCTGAACGCGGTTTTAATTGGATTTGTTTCAATTGTGCATCGTCGTAAAATTAGATTTTAATCAGAGTTCAGCTGGCTTAATTAAAGTCTAAATAGGTTTTGACTGGGTTTGATTACTGTTTAAACTTGTTTTCAAATTGCTTTTTCAGATTCTCATTACATTTCAATATATTTCAAGGGCTTTCGGATTTGATTTTAATTGGTTTTAGTACAACGCTAATTATATTTAATCGGCTTTTTTAAGCGAGCTTATCGACTTTTATTTGGATTACCCCCCCCCCCCTAAGGTTCGGGTCGTACGATAAATACCAGCCATTCTAAAAAACGTTCGGAGCATATACATTGGGGGGGCCTGAAATATCAAGGGGTGAGATCAAAGCCATCAAATGCTCACCTGTTATGCAGAGACGAGCCCCAGACCCGTGTGTTTCGTCCGACCTTGGGAAAAAGCAGCTTGAAGCAACACTAGGCACCAACTACACCATCCTCAACTGCCAACAATTGCAACATGCACAAGAAATTGCTATGTTGCATCAGCTACCTTGCGACGTGGTTGCTTGTCGTCTAGCGCGCAAGGTCGCAATCACAGTACCACGCATGCCAAGGGGAGAACAACCCAAAGCTTTGGGCGAAGGGTTCTTTTGATTCGCGACTAGCTGGATGGTGGTGCGTTTTTGTTTCGTGAAGTCCGCGTGATTGAGGTTCGTCCCTGTTGATCCATTTGGCTGTGAAGTCCGGATGAGATCAGTGATGAGAGGCCAGAATCTGGGCAGTTGCTCAGGCAGGGCAGGGCGGCTGTCCCGTGGCCCAAATTCAAACACCATACACCACAATCCCGCTGTGTACAACACAACATAAAAAGAGTTTGCTGTCCAGCCAGCCTCCTAACCTTCCAGCCATGACATCGTCGACCTTCCAGAAGTGCATCCTCATAAGTCGCCAGGCTGCCCTGCTAGTAATAGCCTTTGGCCTCCAAACAACATTGGAGGTTTGGGATTTGTGGCTACAGGTTTCAGGATTAGCTCTTGAAAAGCAGGATTCCCGAACTGCTCTGCAGCAAGTGGGGTGCAATGAGGTATTGGTCCCGACGTGCATGCACATTGTGTGGTGGTTGGTTTTGCCTTGCATTCCCTAAACTACTAAAATACATGTAGCTCAGCGGACATTGACATGGAAAAATGAGTGTGCAGAGCCAGACTCCCAGCGGCCTCGCTCGTGTATTGGCGGCACCAATGTTGGAGAGCTAGAAAAGTGTAATCCGAACTACACGTGAAACATACCTTGTACATCAACGTTGGCCGCTGAAAATGCAGTTCTAAATCCTAGGACTGTACAAGCCAAAACTTCAATTTTGAAACCTCAAACGTCAAAATCCTGAATACAAAAACGTTGCTTAATCACTTTGCAAATCACAAAACTAAAAGCCCTCTAGAATAATGGCAACTTTGTAAAGGTCATGAGTTTCGGAACCATTGCATGTTGGACACCATGAAAGACAACTGCTATCTCGTGAAAACCTTTTCTTTGGAATTCCATGAACAATTCTAATTCCTCATCATCTAACGCACATTCTTGCGCTTACCTCGGGCTGGGCTCTTCCTACTCATTTGTATCTGCACTGCTCGCACTTGGCATGATTTATTTTTCGCTTTCGGATCTTTTCGGATCTCGGGTATGTTCGGCTCCGACCTTGTTCGGGGGGAGGGACCTCATAATTCTTGAAAAGCGCAGATCACGCACACTCTTGCTCTTACCTCAGGTTGGGCTCTTGCTACTCATTCGTATCGCTTTCGGATCTTTTCGGATCTCGGGAATAGTGGGGCTCAAACCTTATTCGGGGGAAGGGATCTCATTGGCTGGAGCGGTGGAGTTCTGGAGAGTCTTGCGGCAGGGTGAAAAACTGGATGGTGTGAGGCTGGAGGATGCTGGCCGAACATCATGTGGAGCAAAGGGGCCCGCCACTGTGAATCACAAAGTGCCACACCAATCATGACAAATTGTTTTGACGCTCTAGCGCGCATCAAGCACCTCCCCAAATAGCAGACCATGTTGTCATGGCACATTAATAATCCCGTAAGCCCGCTGCGTGGAACTTCTCTCTGGTCTCGAGCTCGGCTCGGTCCCTGTCGATTCGGCGTCCTTCCATGTAGCAACGCCATGACCGATGTTGAAACCACGAGAATGTTCGCAGACATGAAGGTTGGCGACAGCTCCTGTTTGTGGTTGCTTTTAGTTCGTCGTCCCGCACCTTGCATGTCGGAAGCACAATGCCGCTTTCAAACATGTGAGATGGCAGAAATTGCAAAGGCCCTAACGACTCCAGTGAGCATCGCGATCCTCATTCAAAAACGTTTGCTGCGAGCTTGTTGCAACTCGATCTGGCCTTCTGTTTCGCGTTTCCTCGGTGTGCGGGCCTGGTCGTTGCCAAGCTGCGAGCCAGCATGTGTTTGCACCAAACATGGCGAACTCAAGGGACCGACCAAGCCCTTGCGGACATGCCCGAAAGCGTGCCTTTTAGCTCAATCCCACACTTTCCAAGCACCGCACACCATGCATGCAAGCGCAACTGTAAGCTCGACGCGGGACTTTTCCAGTACTACCTCCTATCATGGATTCGACTTTGATCCGAAACTGCCGGGAATCGTAATCTGCTGGAATTCACCAAACTATTTGATCAACGCTTCGATGCTGCTGAATACAAATGGCAAGTATCTACAAAATGACGGCGGCGCAGTCCAGATATGTTGACTCTGCGGTGGTGCGCGACGGCCATGACTAGGCCCATTTTGCCAACGATCAAGAGATCGTCCTCCGCGAAATCAAATCCCACCCTTGTCCCCGCTGCGCCCAACCGGCCATGCACACGACAGCAGGTTGCCGCATTCGGAGGCCGGCTCGGCAGTGCGGCCTCAACCACGTCCAAAAAGTCCAAAACCCGCGCCAAAGGGACTGCGCAAACTCACAAATCTAAATGCGCCGCCTGTCTCTTAAAGCTGCCAGGGCTGGCCATGCCTCCAACAGAGGAGCGCTTGCTCAGCGCCGCGCGTCGGAACAAAAATTGCCGCCAACCACGATGACGGTAGCTGTGACTTCAGTGATCACATCCGCGATGTACAAGTCATGATTTGGCTGTGAATCAAAACATTGTTTTGCCGTGCCCCCGCCCTCCGGTTACGAACCCTTTTGTTGCGGCCTGTTCTTACATACCTTTGTCGCGAATGATTGCGCCACAGTCCACCGCTCACAAGCGCCGCGCCACAGCACCTACATCGCCCACCTACGCCACACCGCAGTGCTTACATGCGTTTACGCTGCTCATTGCTCGCCTGCACTACACCACGGCACTTTCTCAAGCGTCTTTTCTTTCGAGAGCCGGGGTATAGGTTTGGCGGGTGTAAGCGGGATGCACCCTTCTGTGGCGTAGGTGCGTGTCGGAGCGCTCTTGCTGTGGCGCCGTGCGAATTTTCATCTTCGCCGGCACCCGCTGCGGGTTTCGTGCGCGTCGAAATGCGCTCGTTGTAGCGCCGATTTTCAACTTCGCCGGCGACGCCTCTGCGTGTTTCGTGCGCGTCGGAACGCTCTCCTTGTGGCGGCATGCGAATTCTCACTTTCGCCGGCAATCTCTCGGGTTGGTTTCGTGCGCGCCGGAGCGCTCTCGTTGTGGCGACGTGCGAATTTTCAATTTTGCGGGCGAACCTTTTGAGGGCGTCGTGCGTGTCGAAATGCACTCGTTGTGGCGCGGTGCGAATATTTCAGCTCGCCGGCAAACCCTCTGCGGTCGCCGGCAAACCCTCTGCGGGTCTAGGGGTATCGTGCGTGTCGAAACGCCGTTGCTGTGGTGTCGTGTGAATTTCAAAACTCGTCGGCGAACCCTCTGCAGCATGTGTGCACGTTGAAACGCTCTCGTTGTGGCGCCGTGCGAATTCCTAACGCGGATTGCAAACCCTTTCGCTGTTCTCGTCGGGTACCCGCGCTGCCGCGTGGAGCTTTTTGCGAATTCGGCTTGGAATCGACGACCCTTCTTGTTGGTTTTCGTGCGCGGCAGCAATGGCGCGTCGAGCATACAGCGAAGTTTCTTCGCCGCTGACGGCCGTTTTGCCAGCACTTGCGCATGGAGCGTTCTGCGAATTCCGTTCGGAATCGACGACTCTCTCCATGTTTTGGCAGCGCGGCGGCCCTTGCGCGTGGAGCGTCCAACGAATTCCGTTCGGAATCAACTACCAGTTTGCTGTTTCTGAAGCGACGACCTTCTTGCTGTTTTGGGCGGGTTGCGGCACTGGCGCGTGGAGCGTCCTGAGAATTCCCTGCGGAATCGACAACCCTATTGCTGTTTTGGCCGGGCGGCGGCGCTGGCGCGAGGAGCATCTTAAGAATTCTGTTCGGAATATTTCTGAATGGACGACCTTGTCGCTGTTTTGGCAGGGCGGCGGCACTGGCGCGTGGAGCGTCCCGAGAATTCCGCTCGGAATCGACGACCCTCTCACTGTTTTGGCATTGCGGTGGCGCTGGCGAGTGGAGCGTCCAGAGAATTCTTTTCGTATCCTCGCCAAGGTCCAGGACTCGGTCCGGCGAAATCAGGCCTCCGCCGCAGCACGGCTGCATCGCAGCGGGCAAGGGGCAGCCTAGCGCGGTGCTTGCCGCCGCCGAGTGCACTGCCACCCTTCCAAGTTGATAAGCGACAGCTTCCATACCATTTGGCCGCGCCAATAAGCTGCATACTGAATGCAAATTTTGTTGCCAAATTTCATCTAAACAGTAGAACACAGCAACGCCGTCCTCCGTGAGCTTGCGGCAATGGCACAGTGTTGGCTCGTGCCGCGGATACCGAGAGCAAGAAGCCATCAAAACCCAACACTTGCAAACGTCGTGGATATCGCGCGTTGGCTCGCTGCTTCTGTCCGTGTTGTGTTCGCAGTTTCATCGCTCTCCTCACGCACGCCACCTGTTTTCCTTGTTTCCCTATCTCTCTCTCTCTCTCTTTCTTTGGCCTCTCTCGGGTGTGGAGTGTCCATGTTACTTGTGAGGCATGTGAGGGCTGTGTGTCGAGAGCCTCTTGCTGTCGACTGCTGCTGATTGGCGCCTGTTACCGATGCTGCGCCAGTCTTCCATACTTCTGCCCATGTTGTATTTGCGGCCCTCTCTTACTAAAGCTGTTGTTTTTTTGTTTTTTCCGCGCCTTTTACCACCAGCATGTACAGCGCTCTTGTTCGCCAAGAAGCGAAAGAGGCTAGCCTGGGCAGGAGGCGGCTGGCCAGCACCGGGTGCTCCCAGCGGTTATCGGCCAAGAGCTCATAAGGCTCCGGCGCAGTATCTTCGCCGTGAGAGCGGGAGCTCACGCATGGAGCTGGCATATGCCCACTGCGCGGCAACGGCCAGTAGCGCTGCCCATCTGGAAGCCCAGGCGGATTGGGCTGGCGGGCGCAACCAGGCCGGCATAGCAGCAACCCGGTGCCGCGTGAGGAGGCGGAGGAATGTCGCCGCCTCGGCGCCAAATCTGCCACCAACCTCAAGGCCGACGACCACAAGTCTTGCGTGTCCATGGTGGCCATGGAGCTCGCGTTCCTGCATGCGGGATTGGGATCAATGCGTACCTTGATGCGGGTCCGATCTGCGTTGTTGCGCCCAAGCAGCCATTCTCTTGGTGTCCATTATCTCCGTTTCTGACCATTTCCTTGCCGATCTGTTTTGCGTGCCGTCCCTCTGTCTCTACCCTTTTTTTCCCCCTTGGACTTGTTTGATCCTGTTGCATCCGTTTCGCACGGTCCCAGCGCACGGGCCAAGCCAAGACCAAGTCCAGAGCCACACGCAGGAGCCCAAGGCAGTCCACAGAGGTCTGGTTGCCCCTGGCAAACTACACATTGGGCTAAGGTACGAACCCTAGCTGTTGCAACTACATTGCCTCCAAACATGGAGCCCACAAAATACCTTGCAAAGTCTGATGTGATTTTGAATCGGCTCCATGCTTGCTTGCGTGAGCTTCAGCACCAACAGGGTTTGGTGAGTAGATCCTGCTATTGATTATCGCGAGCCATATTTCCATGACGGTTAGGGTCCTATGTGTTCTTACATGCAAAACCGCAAGCTCAATATTGACAAGTACGCAAACCTAACGTGCAAAATCACTTTTGTAAGCATCCAAAAATTCTGCATGCATAAGCGCGTGTCACGTGACCTCCTGACTTTGATCCATGATGATTGCGGTCATGTTGAGTAATGGGTGCTGTGTTGTGAATGGTGCCAGTGCTGCTCACAAGGCTAACGGCTTGACGACGAAAATCGCGATGCTTCACTTCGCACATGTTTCGGACTCACGTAAGCTGCGGAACTTCGGCCGTCTTGTTGCGAGGAAGGCTTCGGCTTTGGAAGGTTTCTGTGGGTTACCCAGCGGTCTCAGGAGAAGGGGCGTCGCGGCCACCAATGCCTCCGGCTCCGGATCTTCTCGCGCAGAAATTATCATGGGAGAGTGTTGCGCGTTTTTGGGGGGTCACTCCCCCGACCCAGCCTCCAGCGACCCTGTGCTTCCGCATTTACCAATCAACAACGGGGGGCCAGGGCTTCACCCCCGCAAACCTCTGCAAAAACTCAAGCCTTTTGCAGCTTGTGCCGAACACCAACCTCTGCGAAAAATGTTTATGCAAAGGTTTCCTCTGCGTAACACTCCGGAAACACAAAGCCTCCGCACAACCTGTGCATGAACCCGGGCCTTTTGCTGTCTGGGCTTATGCGCTGTACAGAACGCAAGGTGGCTCTCCAGATCTCGACACCGTGGTTACGCATTGTTGTTTCTGTGACAAAATGGTTGCGCAACGAAATAATCTGACGGCGGTAAGAATGTTTTGTTGTTGTTTTTTTTTTTTGCGTCTCGGCTGTTTTTTGTTTGGCTGGTTGGGCGGTTGCTTTTTGCACTGTTTGGCCGCGCTGGGAAAGGGCGCGTTTATTTTTGTTTGCTGTTTGGGCGGGGGAGGGGGGGAAGGCGTGCTTATTGTTTTGCTGTTTGGGCGGTGCAGTGTTTATTTTTTTGCTGTTTAGGCGGGGGGCATGGTGTTTTTTTTGATGTTTGGGCGGGGGCATGTTGTTTTTTTCCTGTTTGGGCGGGTGCACCTTTTTGTTTGCTGTTTGGGCTGGGAGGGGGGTGGGAGGCGGAGGGGGGGGCGGGGCTTGTTTTTGCTGTTCGGACAGGGCGCCTTTCTTTTTTGCTGTTTGGACGGGAGGCGCGTTGTGTTTTTTGCTGTTGGGGCGGGGAACGGAAGTTCACTCACTTACCGGCCTGCCTGGCTCGGTGTTGACAACAAAAAACCGAACAAGAAAAAATACAGGTTCCATCTGACGGCCGCAACTTTGGAGCAACCTCTGCATAACCTCTGCATAAAATGCATTCATGCAAAAACCTTACTTTTATGGCGCTTATGCAGAACGCAACCTCTGCATATTTTTTTTTTTGTGCACAGGTTTTCCTCTTCGTTTGGTCTACGACATCTGCATAAACTTCTGCATAAA